CTGTGACTAACTGTCATGGACTGGGTGGAATGTAACAATCTTCCCACTCCCCAGTTGGTTGATCACACACCCCTTGGGGTCAAGCTACAGCCTTCTTGGGGGCATGCCACATTCCTCACTTTGGAGACCATTGACCTGGAGAATAAGATGCATACTCTTCAGGGACATTCAGAGGACTCCACAGTCTATCCCTAACCTACTTTTTTCAGCCTTATCCCACAAAGCTCCCTTTCACTTCTCAGTTTTCCCAAACTGGTGTGCTTTCAGAACTCATCTTAATTTTTCCTGCCTCCATGTATTTGCTTACACTGTTCCTTGCACGCCCTCCCCACCTGCTTCTTGCAATGATGCTTCCCATCCTTCAAGGCCCAACTCAGTTGTCATGTCTTCCATGAAGCCTTCCTTGATCCCTACAGCCAGAAGTGATCTCCTTCTACTGAGATCTCTTAATAGCATTAGATCGGTATTTCTTTTATGCACTTATCACAATCTGAATTATAATATAGTTAATTATGTCCCTACCTTATATTCCTTACTAGATAATTTCTTATTTATCCTTGTACCCTTTCTCAGAACTTAGCACAAGGTTCTGGACCTGGTCTGCTTAATAGATATTTGTTGAATTGCTTTGGAGGAGCTGTTTAATCCCTTTCTTCCCTGGGACTGATTCCCCCTTTCTCCTTTATCTCTTCTTTGGCCTCTATAAGAACTTGGTCAAATCCATTCTCACCTCAGAATGAACATTTTGGGGACTTGATATGTTCCACCTCTAAACTGGGGGACTACATGAGCTCTAACGTCCTTCCAGCTTTGACATTCTATATTTTTTCCAAAACTTATGTCTTTTACATTGGAGTCAGTGAGCTTTGTAAAGGTTTTCCCTGTCCCTTTGACATCTTAGTGAACCTGATGTGGGAAGGAGAATGTATGTCCATATGATTATCTATGTGTACAGATGCTCTGTGATGGCTGTTGCTATTAGACTATGAGCCTCTGAACACCTATCCCAGAACTTTCTGCCCTGTCTCTGGGGCCATGTCTGTCCATGACAGTGGAGGTGGGTAGGTAGTTATGTGTAGGTTAATTGATGGGTGGACCACTGGGTGAATTGAGAAAGAGGGGATGGATTGGTTAATGGATTGATTAATAGGTCATTGGGTGATTAGGAGTAAGTGGGTAAGGGAATTGGGCATACCTGGTATCAGTACGTGCCACGTGGGGGATGAGCAAGGGAGCCACTGGCCGTATGCGGAGTACCTCACGTACCGTGGCCTCGAGGAAGGGAAGTTGGTGCCTGTCACTGAGCACAGGTGTTCGGGTAAAGCCAATTTTCTGGTCAATTTCCTTCTGGATAGTCTCCTGTACCTGGGGGATCATATGGAGGGATGTGTGTGTGTGTGTGTGTGTGTGTGTGTGTGAGACATGAACTTCCAGCCCACAGAGGCTGAATCTTGAGGTGGATGCTGTACCCTTGTGAGATGGATGGAATGAGGACAATGGAGTATGTGCTCATGGGTTACATGCCCTCAAATTCCAGGGCAAACAGCAGGGGCATGAGCACTTGGACATGGGTCCCAGAGGGCTTGTCCTCCTGAGACTCTGGTCAGCCTTGGGTCTAGGTGGTGTAACCCAAGCAGCACTAGTGCTGGCGTTATGTCACCGGCCAGAGCTTCTCATCTAATACTGTTTGCATACCAGGAGCCCAGAGATGGGTGGAGGTAGAAGGCAGATTTCCCTGAGCTCTTTCTGGGGTAGTGAACTGAGCACCAGGGAATGCTGAATGACAGTCTCACCTGGGGATAGTGCAACATGTAGGCAATGGACCACTTGATGACACTGCTGGACGTCTCCACACCAGCTCCAAAGATGTCACCCACCGTCATCAGGATGTGCTTATCTGTGATCTCTGACTCCTGAGTCAGGAGACCATTGTTGTTAATCTTGGCCTTCAGCATCATATCCAGGAGGTTGTTTACAGAATCTATGTCGAATTTCTCCTGGGAGAATAGGGGTGGGAAATGAATCTACCTTCTCCAGAACCCAGAGTCCCTTCTCCTCTCCTGTCTTACTCCTCTTAACTCCCAGTCCCATCCCACAGCCTAGGTCTGAGAATCCGTGCCCAGGAGTGGGAACACAACCGAGGTATACTGGCCTTGTCATCAATGTACACAGTGAATAAGGGATCTTGACAAACATCCCCCCTCCTCTTCCAGCCCCTCCAAGTTTGCACTGTTCCCTTATATACCTTGTGAATTTTAAATTTTTTCTCCAGTAGTTTATTCCGTACCATGATGTTCTCCTTCAGCAGAGCCATATCTTTGCTGAACAGCTAGAAAGATGGGAGGGACAGAAGGGGAGTCTTGAAGGTGGATCCACTCCCTGCCCCCAATTCCAGTCTCCCTCACTTCAATTTCTACTCCAGAGACTGGACCCTTGACTCTCTGCCCCTACTATCCTATCTCCCCAGTGAATCTTAGCCTTCCTGATTCTCTTCTTACTGTATATACTCCTTCACCAACCAGTGGAGACATCAGATAACCCTGGAGGATCCACTGGCTGGGGAAGCCATCTTGAAGAGGCCTGGGTCCCTGGTAGCCCCCTCCTCGACCCTCGTCAATCACAAGTGTGTGGGTTTGTTTTGTTTTTTTGTTTAAGAACCTGTTCTCTGTTCAGCCTTGTCCTTGGCATCAATTGGGGGAGATGGGGAGGAGGCAGAGAAGAAGCAGAAGAAGTCAGAAGTCCCAGTAGCTTACGGTTTGGTTAGGGAAAGACACACACAAGCAATGAAACAACACAAGACAGTCTATAATTCTGAGCTGGACTCTGGCTCAAATTGTAAAAGCTGTATCAGTTCAGAGGAGGGAGAGCTCAGTGTGGACTTTAACAGTCAAGGAAGGTTTCCTGGAGGAGGTGGACTCAAGTTCAGCCTTTGTCAAAGAATAAGGAAAATTGGGATTAGGAGACCAAGTGCCTTGACCAAATGTCCATGTGTGTATACGTGTGTGTGTGTGTCTCAGGAAGGGGGAGGGGGGAGCCACCTCCTCCCTGTGCCCTTTTCTACTGCAGGGCAGGGCCCCAGAGCTCATACCTGAGTCCAGGGAAAGATGTCAACCAGGCTGTCCTTGCCTAGAGTCTTGGTGATGACTTCGCTGAAGTTCATCATGGTCTTTACTTCTTCATCGTCTTGCTTCCAGGAGCTGCTGAAGCAAAACTGGCAGATCACATTGGCCGAAGCCAGAAAACAGACCAAAGCTGGGTCCGTGTTCTGTCCTTGTGTGTTGGCCAGGGCCTTACATAGAGAATTGGCCTCTTGGCAGACTAGGGAGATAGAGAAAGGAAAGGATGGATAAAGGTTGGATAGGGCCAGAATTAAGGGGAGAGAGATCAACCCTACCCCACCCCTCAAAGACAAGACCACCCTTCAATGACACCCATCACCACCACCACCACCACTCGGCCCAACACAGTCAGTTTGAGGATGACCACCAGGTGGCAGTAGCAACCTGGGATCCTTCTGGTCACCGCCTTACCCCTCATTGGTGGCTTCTGTCAGGTCCTGAGCCGAAACCCTCCCTACCTTGCCCTTGCCCCCTCCCTACTGATCCCTAGTAGCCCCTGGTCCTGGCACTCACTGATCTTTTCCAAATTCTGGGAGGAGCGATCCTTAAACAAGGAGAAGGTGGACTGCACCAGCTTCCGAGACGTTCGCCACTGGGGACCATATTTAGAGAAGGCAATCCCCTTGCCAGTGTCAGTCAGGATGTCTGTGGTTACCTTTGGAATTATAGGAAGATTGCATTCAGGGTGTGTTATACTCTAATCTCTTCAAATTGCCCCCACTTGCCCTCCTCAAGGGTAGATGGTAGGCACTAGTCTTGGAATTCCATCCAGGTAGTCAGAATAGTCAAAAAAAAACTTTGAATCCAGGTACACAACATAGGTGTCATCATCACTCCTTCCCCTGAGTTCTACCAATTCTACCTTCATAACATCTCTCATCTGTGCTCCCTTCTCTCCTCCAACACTTCCACCACCAGGCTCTAGGCCCTCATTTCATAACTGAACTACTGTAATAACTTTCTGGTTGGTTTCCCTAAATTAAATCTCTCCCCATTCCAAAAATTGCTCTTCCTAAAGTGCAGATCTAACCATATCACGCCGCACCCCCTGCCCCATTCAATAAATTCCAATCACCTCCAGGAACAAATACAAAATCCTGTTTGGCATTCAAAGCCCTTCATAACCTGACAGCCTTCCTAGCTTTCTTATTACATCTTACTCTCCCTCCCTCCCCTCCTACACACACAGACACACACACACACACACACACACACACACACACACACACACACACACACGCACTCACTGAGGAATTTGCTCCCTTGCTCTCCCTCCAACAAGACAATCCATCTCCAGACTCTGACCATTTTTACCGGCTGTCTTCCACGCCTGGAATGCTCCTCCTTTTCATCTCTATTTCCTGGCCTTCCTGGCTTCCTTAAAGTCCCAACTAAAATCTCATTTTCTACTAGTCTCTCCAAATCCCTGTTAATGCTAGTACCTTCCTTCTGCTGGTCATCTCTAGCTTGTCCTGTTTATATCTTGTCTGTACGTGGTGTTCCTGTCATATTCCCCCTTTAGACTGAGAACTCTTTCAGAGTAGGGACTTTTTGCCTTTCTTTGTATCTCCAGCACTTAACACTGAGTAATTGGGGAGGTATGACACACACCAAGCCTTACTTTGTGCCAGGCACCATGCCGAGGAGCTGGGGATATAAAAGCAAAAATGAACTAGCCCCTGTGCTCGAGGATCTTACATATGACTGGAAGCCACATCCATTATGAGGCCAGTCTGGAGGCCAGCTCACAGTCTTCTGCATGGAGGCTTGGAACCTAGAGACTGACCCCACCTGTCCTCTCCCCCTACTACCAAATAGATTTTTCCATTCTCAGTCCTGTCTACTTACTACCTTTCTGTCTCTGTTGTATACTAACCCAGACCAACTTTCTGTAGCCTTGGAGAGGGAAGTACAGAGAAAAAACAAGCCCTGATTAGGCTGGAGTTCTCAGCAGCCAATTGTCCAGAAAAGGGGGGACATTGCAAGTCAGAGAGAAGAAATCCTAAATCATAGGTTTTAGATCTGGTAGTTGCTGTTGGTTGTTTCTCAGTCATGTCTGACTCTTCATGACCCCATTTGGAGTTTTCTTGGCAAATATACTAGAGTGGTTTGCCATTTCCTTCTCTAGCTCATTTTACAGATGCGGAAACTGAGGCAAATGGGATTAAATGACTTGCCCAGGGTTACAAAGCTAGAAAGTGTCTAAGGCCAGATTTGAACTCAGGAAGATGAGTTTTCCTGACTCAGGCCCTGGGCTCTGTGCCCTGTGGTGCCACCTAGCTGCCTCAAAGATCTGGTAGAGACCTTAGAAATGATGTAGCCCAATCCCATTATTTTACAAATGAGAAAACTGAGACTCATCCAGGGACACCGACTTAGCAGAGGACACACAGGTAATTAAGTAGCAGAGCTGGGACTCCAACCTGAAGTTGTCGGGTCCTCTGCCTCCCAAATCCTTTGCTAGACACGAAGTGATTGGAGGGATACTCTTCTGGGGGAGGTGTCTGCCTTAAAACTGTTGGTATCCCCAGGAAGGGATAGGGTAGAGAGGAGGGTACCCAAGTAGAGCAGCAGAACACTAGACTCCCCTTGCCCCTTATTCCCTCTTTCTAAATTAATTTCCTCCTTCCTTCTGCCTCCCTCTCTTCAACTCTGGAAGGAGTTTTCATCAGGGTCCTGCAAGGCTGAGATAGCGGGGAGGCAGCTGAGCGAGGCAGGAGCTGGAAACGAGAAGGCAAGGGAAATTGTCTTCTGGAAAAAAAACTGAGAAAAACTCTTTTTGGCATTCTCTGAAAAAGAGAAGAGGATATTGTCACCCTTCTTATAGGTTTTATAGACAAGGAAGTTGAAGCCCAGAAAGGTCTAATGATTTTGCTGATGTTGTTCCTGGAGTCACAGGTTGAATGAAAGCTGGAACCCAGCTCTCCTCATTCCTAGCCTACTCTGTCATGCTGCTTCTCCCCCAAGTCCAGAAAAAGGGGGGCACGTCCCCTCTTGCCCTATTAAGCAGCTCTGAAGCTCATCCTCACATCACCCCTTAGATCCCCAGGATCTCGTCAGGCATGGTTCTTCCCAGGTCCCCCTCCCCAGTGGTTACCAGCAGTCATCAAAATGCTTACCATCTGGGGGCGGCAGGCAAATTCCTTGCCCTTCTTGAGAAGCACTTCCTTGGCCAGTGAGAAATGGTTCACTACCACAACATAATACGAGCCCAGCCAAAAGGCATAGATTTGACCGTACTTCTCCTTAAGCTTGGTGAAGTAGATGTGTGTCTCTTCATGTGACTTCAGATATATAAGGCTCCCCAGGATGGGCAGGTGGGGCAGACACATGGGATATTTCTTGCCCAAACTCCTCAGCTTCTGCCAGATGTAGTATAGCAGGATCAGCAGGGAGATTATGAGGAACCACCACATCTTGGTTTTGAGGTGGCTAGAGAGAAAGGATGTGGGAGGTATGAGTCAGGCTGTGATAGATGTAGGCAGCAGAGGGCCGGCACGCTGGGGCCCTGCAGTACTCCAGCTGCCTTTTAAATAGTGGCCCTGCTCATCACCTTGACTTTTATGATGTTTATCACATGCCTGAGGAAGGTTTTCTCTGGAATTGAGCCAGGCCTGGGTCCCCTCCCTTGATGAAGTAAGAGGAGGAGGGAGAGTGGAGGCTTTCACTAACAGGGGTCAGGGCCCTGTAACCTCCCACCTGCAGTTCCCAGTTATTCCAAGAAAGTCCTCAGGCACCTGCAGTGAAATCATATGCAATTTGGTTTGGGGAGTTTTCTTTTTCTTTTTTTTTGGAATGGAGGGTATAGATCAGATCTGAATTAACTATGGCAGCTCTCACTAAAGGCTTCCTCTGGAGAAACTGCTTTCTCCAGTAAGCCTTAAGTCAACCAATATGTGTATTTAATTGAGTGTATTAGATACTGAGAAAATGTGTGGCTCCTGTTTTCAAAAAGCTTATAGTCTTGTAATCTTATTTGGGGGAACAAGACACACACACACACACACACACACACACACACACAACTAGAATGATTGAGGGCTAAAATGTGTGGTTAATATGACTGATACAGTAGCAACTCAAAGGAGGAAGAACTCACTATGGACTGAGTGGATGAAGCTTTAGCAGGGCCCTGAAAGGTAGATAGAATTTAGAGCGGGGGTTCTTGACATGGAGTCTGCAAACTTGGTTTTAAAAAATATTTTGATAACTATTTCAACAAAATTGGTTTCCTTTGTAATCCTAATATTGTATTTACCTCCTTAGTTTCTTTCTTGCTTATTTTTTGGTTGGATTTATCGAGTTCTGAGAGGGGACAGTTGAGATCCCCCACTAGTATAGTTTTGCTATCTATTTCTTCCTGTAACTCACTTAACTTCTCCTTTAAAAATTTGGATGCTGGGGCAGCTAGGTGGCGCAGTGGATAGAGCACTGGCCCTGAAGTCAGGAGGACCTGAGTTCAAATCTGACCTCAGACCAAATACTTGACACTTACTAGCTGTGTGACCCTGGGCAAGTCACTTAAACCCAATTGCCTAAAAAAAAAAAAAAAAACCAATAAAAATTTGGATGCTATACCACTTAGTGCATATATGTTTAGTATTGATATATCTTCATTGTCTATGGTACCTTTTATTTTTATTTTTTTTTTTTGTGAGGCAATTGGGGTTAAGTGACTTGCCCAGGGTCACACAGCTAGTAAGTGTCAAGTGTCTGAGGCCTGATTTGAACTCAGGTCCTTTTGACTCCAAGGTTGGAGCTCTATCCACTGCGCCACCTAGCTGCCCCCTCCCACAAATTTATTATTTTACTTGTTTAGGCTTCTCTTGGGTTTTGATATTAGAGATCAAATTTTCTATTTAATTCTGGTCTTCTTATGAAAGTTTGAAATCCTTCTATTTTATTGAATGACCATTTTTCCCTTCATGTATTTTGCTGGGTAAATGATTCTTGGTTGTAGTTCTAGCTCCTTTGCCTTCCGGAATATCATGTTCCAAGCCCTTTGATCTTTTATCGAAGCTGCTAAGTCCTTTGTAATCCTGATTGTGGCTCCCTGATATTTGAATTGTTTCTTTCTGGATACATGCAGCATTTTTTTCCTTGACTTGATAGTTCTGAAATTTGGCTATAATGTTCCTTGGAGTTTTTATTTTGGAATCCCTTTGCTGAGGTGATCAGTGGATTTTTTTTTTTTTTAGGCAATTGGGGTTAAGTGACTTGCCCAGGGTCACACAGTTAGTAAATGTCAAGTGTTTGGTCTGAGGCCGGATTTGAACTCAGGTCCTACTGACTTCAACCAGGGCTGGTGCTCTATCCACTGTGCCACCTAGCTGCCCCCAGTGGATTCTTTCAATGCCTATTTTGCCCTCTGGTTCCAGGATATCGGGGCAGTTTTCTTTGATAATTTCTTGGAAGATGCTGTCCAAATCCTCCTTTTGATTATGGTGTTCAGGTTGTCCAAAGATTCTGATGTGTCTTTCCTGGATTTATTTTCCAGGTCAGTTGTTTTTCCTATGAGTTATTTTATATTTTCTTCTATTTTTTTTCACTCTTTTGAATTTGTTTGATTCATTCTTCATGTTTCACAGAGTCCTTAGCTTCTACGTGCCCAATTCTAAGTTTTAAGGAGTTGTTTTCCTCAATTAGCTTTTGTACTTTCTTTTCTGTTTGTCCAATTGTATTTTTTGAGGAGTTGTTTTCTTCAATTAATTTCTGTATCTCCTTTTCCATTTGACTAATTGTACTTTTTAAGCAGTTGTTTTCTTTTTCCAAACTATTGACTCTTTTTTCGTAATTCTCTTGCATCACTCTCATTTCTTTCCCCCATTTTTCTTCTATCTCTCTAATATGATTTTTAGGCTCCTTTTTTAACTCTTCCAACAAGTTCTTTCTGGGCTTGAGACCATTTTCCTGTTTTTCTCTGGGGTTTTGCCCATAGATGTTTTGACATTGTTGTCCTCTTCCGAGTTTGTATCTTGATCTTCCTTGTCACCATAATAACTTTCTATGGTCACAGTCTTTTTTTGTTGTTTGTTGTTTGTTTTTTGTTCATCTTTGGAGTTTTTCCTTTCTTTTAAATTTGAGCTCTGCTGACAGGGTGGAAGAGGCACTGTCTCAGGCTTCTTTGTGCTAAGGGCTGCAGGCACTGGCTGTTTACCTGGTGTTGCTCTGATGTTGCCCTGAGGTCCATGGGATACCCCCATGTCTGGTGCTGTGCTGAGGGGGTAGGGTGGGGGGTGGCTGGTGCTGCTGGAGGCTGTAGGGGTCTGGCAGCTTACTTGGTGCTGAGCCCAGTGGGGTCTTAGTGGTAGTGTCTGGTGTGTGCTAAGGCCTGTGGGGTGTTTCTGTATTTCCCCAGGACTTCACTGAAGCAAGTGGAGGTCTGGCCACTGGCAGCTGCCCGTTTGCCTGGGGCTGCACTGAAGCACGTGATATTTCTCAGAGCAGGAGTTTGCCTGTTCCCCTGACTGTGCTGATGCATGTAGGGGGTGCTGATGTTGGTGTTTGCTGAGGATTACTGCTCACTTGCTGTGACACTTCCTGTCCTGGACCGTAGTCCTTTTTTACCCTAGTGAAACAGACCTTTCCTGCTGATCTTCCAAGGTTCTTAGGCTCAAAGATTGTTTCACCTCTTTTTTTGCTGGTTTTGCTGTTCCAGGAAATTGTCCCAGGTTTTGTGGCACTATTTTACAGCTGTTTGGAGGTGAATATGGGAGAGTTATGGCAATTTACTGCTTACTCCACCATCTTGGCTTCCAGGTCCTTTGTAATCCTATGTATTTTATTTTACACACTTAAAAACATCATTCTAATGAGTGAATCTTATTCTCATCGGATTTGGCTTAAGGAAGGAATAACATACACACTCAATTGGGTATGGAAAAGTATCTTACCCTACAGGAAAATAGGGGAGAAGGGGATAAGAGAGCAGGGGGATGATAGAGGGGAGGGCAGATTGGGGGAGGGGGGTAATCAGAAGCAAACACTTCTGAGGAGAGACAGGGTCAAAAGAGAGAAGAGAATAAATGGGGGGCAGGATAGGATGAAGGGAAATATAGTTAGTTTTCCGCAGCATAACTATGATGGAAGTGTTTTGCATGACTATACAAGTATAACCTGTATCAAGTTACTTGCCTTCTCAGTGAGGGTGGGTGGGGAGGGAGGAAGGGAGAAAATTTAGAACCCAAACTTTTAAAAACAAATGTTAAAAAATTGTTTTCACATGCAGCTGGGAAATAAGATATACAGGCAATGGGGTATAGAAATCTATCCTGCCCTACAGGAAAATAGAAGAGGAAGGGGATAAGAGAAGGGGGAGGGAGATAGAAGGGAGGGTAGATTAGGGGAAAGGGTGTTCAGAATGAACACTGTCTTGGGGTTGGGAGAGGGATGAGATGGAGAGAAAATTTGGAACTCAAAATCTTGTGGAAGTGAATGTTGAAAACTAAAAATAAATAAATTAATGAGAAAAAAAACCATCATTCTGAGAAGGGATCTGTAGGTATCACCACACTACCAAAAGGATTCATGATATAAAAAGGAATTAAGAACCTCTGATCCAGAGAGTTAGCAAGGAGGGGAAACAGCATGAGGAAAAATGTCAAGGTGGCAGTGAATCTGGCTTCTGCTGGGGACAGAAAGATCAGTCCAGATGCAGAGAAGGGGGGAGGAATGGAATTTAGGGTAAGGTGGGGCTCTGTTGTGGAGGGACTTGAGTGCCAGGCAAGGAGCTTGCACTTGATGTGGTTTAAATAGAGGTGCCATAGGGGCAGCTAGGCGGCGCAGTGGATAGAGCACCGGCCCTGAAGTCAGGAGGACCTGAGTTCAAATCTGGCCTCAGACCAAACACTTGACACTTACTAGCTGTGTGACCCTGGGCAAGTCACTTAACCCCAATTGCCTTAAAAAAAAATAGAGGGGGGCATCTAGGTGGTGCAGTGGATAGAGCTCTGGCCTTGGAGTCGGGAGGACCTGAGTTCAAATCCGGTCTCAGATACTTAACACTTACTAGCTGTGTGACCCTGGGCAAGTCACTTAACCCCATTGCCTAAGCCCCCCCCCAAAAAACCAAAAAAAATAAAAATAAAATAAAAAAAAATAGAGGTGCCATGGAAGTTACTTAAAAGGAGGAGTAATGTGATCATAGTTACACTCAGGACAACAGATCTGGTCATTCTGTCCAGGATGGACTGAAGGGCAAAGCCTTCTTTAGTTAAAGATGAGCTACTGGGCTGAGGACCTGCCCTGTAGTGTGATACTCATGTTGAAATTATTTTTATTTATTTTGTTAAATATTTCCCAATAATTTTAAAAAATTTTAAGTTCCATAATCTCTCCCTCCCTCATGTCCCTCCCCCTTCCTTGAGAAGGTGAGCAATTCTATATCAATTATACATGTGAAGTCATGAAAAATATA